CTTGAGACCCTTGGCTTACCCTAACTGACACAGTAGTGACAGTAGCTCTGTGCATTTTGAATCTAAAAGCAGAATCATGAAAACTATAATCTGTACAGTCATCATATGTTGCAGCTTTTAAACACTTCATGTGATCTTAACATGGGAAATTCTTGACTTATAAAAATTACTTTTCAGTATTAAAGTCAACTGATCTCCTCAGTGGCAATTTTCCTGGGTTTTTATTCCATATACAAAATAAATTGGTTTAAAAATCAGTTTTGTTTCAACACTACAGAATCGCTCAGCTGTAGAACAGGGGTGTGGACAGATCAAATTCTTAAATTATGCAATTATTTCACTAGCCTTACCTTCTTCCAGAGTCTTTGTCTAGTACTTGTTTCATATGAGGTGACTGAGGACTGAGCAGAGGGTGGGTCACTCAGCACATGGCACCCAATCAAGGCCTATATGCACAATGATTTTAAAAATAATAGTATATGGTTACACTTACAGTAATTTGTTTTTCTTCTTTAATTATCTTTGTAATGGTGAAAAAAATCAGGCCTTGTTTTTTGGGGTTTTTTGGGTTTTTTTTATAGTGAAAAGAATTGAGATAGAATTTTGACACATTAAAAAATTTTCAAAAATTCCAATTTTTTAAAGTTAGGTGAATTCTTAGGCTGCCTCTCTAATGTATCTTAGGATAGGCATGAAGTGTGTCTGAGATCAAGTCCTCACTTGAACTACACCTACACATTCCAACTGCTTGGCTTTGCAGCCACATTTGGGAACAAGCTTTAGCAGAGTAGCAGAGAAAAGAGACAGAGATGATTGAGGCCAGAGTAGACAGGCCAGGCATGACTTGAGCTCCAAAAACACATAAGCCTTGCTTTCACACCACACATTTTTTGCTTGAAATCAGAACACTGGGAAAAGGAGTGTGAGAACACAAATCACATTTTAATTGAATGTCAGTGTTTCATTTCCTATATAATTTAGAAAGACTTTCTAGTAAATACATTGTGCAGTTTTGTGTTATTCCTGTGTTCATGCAGGCATCTCTCTGTAGAGGCCATGCTGAACTTTGCTTTGCAGATTAAGACATAGAATACTGTGACTTTTCTTCTGTCAAAACAAGAGAGAAAACTGTGGTTTTAACCAAACAGTAATTTTCTGAGAATAGAAGACAATTCTAGGTCAAGGATTTCATCCTCTGGTGCTCTGACCCTGCAAGAAGTCAATGGCATTGACTG